AAAGCCACATCGGCAACCCACACCCACATCCGCTCCCCACACACCCATACCCATACCTCACACCACCCATACGCACGTACTCACACTCCACACTACTTCTATCCCCAAATCCATACCCTATACTACCCATACCTCCACACCACCCACGCTCATATACTGGCAAATACATCCAAACTCCACACCCCACACCATCCATACCTACACACTGACACCAACGCTCATACACACTTCATACGTATCCACACCCAACTGTGCAAAATTATATTATTCCTTTAATCTTTAATGAAACAAATACAAGTTATATTTAGTGATACTTCAAGCTTGTATCGAACTGTTCGACTTTTGTTTTACACTGTCTACTTTCAAAATAATCTAACCAATTAAATCTGCTGTCTAATATCATTCTACTAATAATTACAATCGTTGTTTTTGAGAAAATAAGAATCGGAGGAGCCCCTTGATCATCTTTCACATTGTGCAATAGAATGAAATGGAATTTTCTTTCTTTACCTAGATATTATCATTTTGAACAATACAATCATTCAAAGGTTTATATACGAAGCATTCAAGTAAAACTTTCTCATAAAATCGCATGTTTGATTTGTTATTTTGTTTTACTTGAAGAAATGGAAGTCGAAATGATGCTTCGAGAAGATGGTGAAACCATCACGAGTACTACTGCCAGACGAAGACAATCAGGAAAACGACCGTGAGTATAATTCTGACAATACACTAAATAGAAGAGAATTGAATGACGTAGAACGACTATTTCTTTTACTGAAAGTGGTGAAATTTGGTTTTCTACGTTGAAATGAAAATTCTTTTCTGAAAAAAGGCCTAGTTATGTTCTATGCATCCAGCATGTATTTTTCTCAAAACCTCAGTATGAAGTATATCAGCGACAGTATGTATGAAACACCTAGTATTGGATTAAATGCATTCATTGAATTTATGGAACATATAATTATATAACCTTACTGGCTCAATTAAACATATATTTACGATAGTTCATTTATTTTATGTAGTAACCAATGGAAATCGAATCTGTTACGTTTCGGTGTCGGCGCCTTGGCGATCATGTTTTTGGCAACTTTGGTCTCTGTTGCCGTTTATAAATCGGTGCCCTACATTCGAAAATCAAGTGATACAGCCAAAAAGGAATCAGGTTAAGTTTAAGTGTTTATAATACGAGTATTATAATCCTAGATATGTGTAGATATTCAAGAAATTCACCTAAAAGCTATTTTCAGTACAAATCATGTTCTGGACAACACACTTGCCTCATCAAAAATAATCAATATCGATAGTATCACCGATCAAGTAAGATATCTGATACAAAGTTGATCTTACTATTCTTCTGTTAATTTTTATAGCTGAACATCATTTTGAATGGAAATATAATTAACGTTGTTAATGCAGTTTTCCGTAATTATTCCATAACGGAAGGGTACTGTCAGTAAACATTATCTAAAACTATATTTTGATTGTTTCAATTTTGATTAAGGATTGTATGCGAAAATCCACTGTTCGGAAATGTTCTTCAGTTGAATATGATTACTTTTTACTCTCATAATTGTTCTTATCACGAAGATGATATGTGCAAGTTGCAATTAGAGGAACAATTAAGGGAAATGTTCGATGTAAAATCAAGCATTCCAGTCACGATTCAGTTTGATAACAAGCGTTTCAAGAGTATCGAAATTAAAATATGTACTATCACAGAAATGACTGGTAAGATTGGGAGCATCATTTCACAAAAATTACATTATTTTTTATTAAGCAATAGAAGAAGAAACTATTCCAACAGCGACAAAGATAAGAGTTAAACAAGCAGTGTTGCCATACGCAGTGACGCAACACAGAGGAAGAAGCCGTAAGTTTCTATAGTGAAATTGATAAGCCTCTTGAAATCTTTTTGTTGACAATCGAACCACTCACTAACTTTTGATACTCTTAGCGTTTTTGTTAACAGCGGTAAAAACCATGAATGTCATTCGATAAATATTATTTATATATTCTTTATAGAGCTCAATATCAGATAGAAACTTGCTGAGATTTGTAATCAAATCTTTTAAATCATTGCTAGAATTTTTGTCGATAAAATTTGTTGAATCTCACACTATGGTTAAACGAGTTATTTAATTAAAAGCAGTTTGAAATTTCTGCTAATTCAAAGCATGAAATGAATATTCCTACTCGAAAGATTTACGGATGGGTAAATTCGTCGAGAAAAGCTACGAGATCACTCTTTACGAAATGAAAGTATGAATCATAATTGAGTTATTCGATTTGTAAACGAGCAATCTATTTAGGTTGAGAATATTATTGGTGAGGGTAAGATAAACACACATATCGAATAGTCTGTCATGGTCTATGAAGGAGCTCAATTTGAAGATGATTCATTTTCGCACTATATACTTCAATACTGGTTTTCTATCCTATTTCGCAAAATGTCACGTTTTACAAGAAGTATTTTTTGCTTCAATGTTTTCTATTAATGAGGCTAATAAGTGTTAGAAAAGTGTTTTGACTAAAAAATTTGCTCGCTTTTACTTGAGATGAAGCAGTTGGAGTCATGTCTGGAAGGAATATTCGATGGTATCGTGTCCTTGTAAGGTTATAATTTGTCGATAATTAAGGAACCAGTCGAGTATAACAATCGTCAAAGAATACCTTTTCTCATTGAGACTGGGCAGGAATATAAGTTTTTGAAAACGTGACACTTTTGAGAAATCTCAATGAAACTAACTTTTTTCTTGAAATTGCATCGAGTTCTTTAAAATAAAAACATGCATATCCTGGTCAAATCTAAATTGCAAAAAGAAATCTTTTCCAGATTGATCTAGCTCATTGACCACTTATATATGGACAAAATATGGGGTCAAAAATACTTTCCTTCCCTTTCTAGTTTTCATGGTTCAGTTTCTTTATACGTTTTTAAACAACTGTTGTATATAAATGGTTAGAAATTTTTATGAAACACATGATTGAGAACACGTGTTGAAACATATGCCGAGAAAAGTATCCTCACCAGTCCCCAAACTGATTGACTTTGCGCCATGTTTGTTTTTTGACCATAGAATACTGACTTTTAGCATCATAAAGTGCTCAAAGTGTTGGACCATGAAGTTTTGGTTCCTCTAATCTATTTAACTTAGAAGTATCAGAAGATCGATATGGCATGACTTTTTTTTTTAAATCTAGAACGTATTCAGCGTAATTCACATTCTAATTCTCAAGGACATGTTGTAAGCTTTTCAGTTAAGATTATATTTTTCCGATTGTTTTATGCATCTTCTATCCTTCTAAAAGTTAAAAGGGCTATCATTTTCTTTTTCATCAAAAAACTATGCAAAATTTCACGTTAGTTCGCAGCTATCACATAATTCTGTGTATGATTTTCAACCTATACCAAATCACTAGTCTATTCTCTCACCTGTATTGAAAAAATGGCGCTCATAAGGTACTCAAAATTGTATTTTACAGGTTTTGATCATGGTCTTGAGTAATGGAAAGTAATAACTGTACAAGGATACATCACAGGTTTTTCTTCATAGGATATATATATATATATATATAGAAGTTCATCATCACTGAAAATTTCAAGTCATAGACGGTTATATTTTGTTAGATTTGTATCATCTTGAGATACAATATAATTTACGGAAAGATCTTATATATATATGATTTATAGAAAATTCAATGATTTATTGTGTACATTTTTATTAGCGCTACGCACAAACGTTGCACCATATTCTGTACCACAGAGATCTCGATGTTCTCTGTGTATTAACAAAATCGGTCGTGTTCAAATGCCTGGTGAACGTGGAACACGTATTCAAGATGATATGCAAACGACTGCCCTTTCAAACGATAATCGATATCAACAATATCTGACTGCTACAGTGTATGAGGACAGTTTCTATCGACTACTTGTTCAGCTTGATTGTGGTGGACAGTTAAGCGGAGATACACAGGAGACTCCTTGCAGTCGTTATCTCAGTGTTACTGTGTGGATTGACTTCAACGACAATGGGTTAGATGAATCAGAAAGTCGACTTCTCCAGCCCGCTTGGTCAAGCAATGATGTACCTACGGGTACATATAATTTGGATGTAAACATACCAAAAATTGACGGCAGAACTACGAAAGCTGGTGTTCATCGCATGCTTGTTACTGTGATGGCAAGTGAAGATTATCAAAGAGAATGTGGCAGTTTTCCGTACAAAGAAACACGAGAGTATACCGTCAATGTTATTCCAAAAGTAGCACCTATAGGTAAATGGTTGTTTATTAACTGATTAAAGATTTTGCATCATAGTCGTACATGTTTGATCATTTCTATTGAAGAAAACTTTCTTTGAATATTTCCCTTTTCTTTATTTCAAAAATAGAAGTCATACACAAATAATATTTTTCTTGAAAGAAATCGTTTTTCAATGAACGGAATTATATAAAATCTAATATTCATTGTTTTATGTACTTTGCATGAGAAATTTTTTCTCAAATGTGATATGTTACTATTGTCATTTAATCAGATGAGCAGACATAGAATGCATATTCATTGAAACACAGTGTTTTCAGCTATATTATACTAGTCAAAGCGACTTTCATCTCTTCGAATCTTAACGTTTGTGAAAGGTTAATATCTGAAAAATCATCTGTAATTCCTGCAAAAAAACTTTACATCATTAGTATCATCACCATTTAAATCATTCAAGTTCGAATAGAATCATACTGAGTAGTGTCATTGATTCACTGTGAATCTTATAGTTCGAGAAAACTAGTGAGAATTGATCACAAACGGAGAAATAAAATAGTTCCTGTGAGTGAATATTTTCGTTTACAGTGAATGTATACTATCTTTATGTAATTTTTCCTTGTACAATTGAATTTCTTCATCAAAGATTATCATAATATACAAGGAAAATTCTGACGAGGGAACATTCCCAAGTGATACCCGCCGTTTCAGCTCATATTGTACCCAAAAGTAGATCTCGGTAAGACTAAAGAAAGTCTAAAATGGTTCGTGCCATTG